GCGGGAAGACAAGTAGGTGATGATGCTCCATCCCCTAATCCCCTTAGTTTCGCAGAGCTAATTAACTTTCCATTTCAAAGCAATTCTCTACAAATTAAAACTCAACCAGGACGTTACCACCATTCCTACTGTCGGATTCAACGTCGAGTCCGTTACCTATAAGAATGTCAAGTTCAATGTCTGGGATGTTGGTGGACAGGACAAAATCCGCCCTCTTTGGCGACATTATTTTTCTGGTATATCTGATTTCTCCGTTCTGGTGGGGAATTACTGCCAATTAACCTTGTGAGTGGGGCATTTTAGGCACCCAGGGTCTCATTTTCGTTATTGACTCGAACGATCGCGCCCGCATCGACGAAGCACGCCAAGAGCTCCATCGGATCATCCTGGATCGGGAGATGAAGGAGGCTTTGCTGCTAGTTTTCGCAAATAAGCAAGATATTCCCGGAGGTAAGTTTCGTCTGATTTGGTTATATATATTACACTTTATTCCCTATACTAATTAAAAATAAACCTTTTTTCACAGCTATGACCCCCCAGGAAGTCACTGACAAGCTCCAATTGACCCAACTCAAGGACAAAGTGTGGTTTGTTGTCCCGAGTTGTGCAACCACAGGCGAGGGATTGTTTGAGGGCCTGGTATGTATTATTCTGTCCTCTGCCCTGGTAAGTAAAATACTAAATATTGATTCTAGGGCTGGCTCTCCAACAATGTCAAGTCGCAACCGCAAAAGCAAATCAAATAAACGCTCACAGCTCATATCCGCGACCACATACAGAGCCTTTGATCATCCTACCCTCGTGTACCAAAAGGTGTACATGTAGCTCCGTTGTCATTTGCCTAGGGACTTTCTCCTATCATTGCTCCATCACATACGTCTTCTCAGTCTACTTCTCTACTTGTCTTCTCTCATGAGTCAACGTAGCCATTGACCACTTTTTGCCGTTTCTTGTCATTCTTTTCTCCTGCGTTTTATTTGCAGTCCTCGTCAAATGATATTCCGCACCATATGTTGTATTTTGTTTGCCTAGTCCTCCCACCGAAATTATTTCCTTATGATATCCCTTATGTTGCTTTATTTTTTTGTATGGATTTCCCGTATGGCATTCCTCTCCCCCCAATATACGGTTTTGTATTATTCGTTGTCATTGATATTTAGACTATGGATACTCAACAATGCATGTGGGGGATTATTAAACATACGTCCAACTGATCCAGGGCAGTATCAATTCGATCAAAATTTCTATTACTAAGTTATTAAATACAAGTGAGTTCACCGGTAGGTTCACATCTGGACCTGATGTCTTATAAAAGCTTACGCATAATATATTGTTATTTGTCTCCCGAAACCCAGCCTGCTGGTACCCAACGCCGTGCAGCCCAGGAAAGAACCAAACATTGATGGCAGGATGTAACACATAACCTATCATTTCCCGACATTCCTGTATCTCTCTCTTGCCAGTCCCCCTTCTCCCCCTTCAACACCATAGCCTTCTCCGATCTCCCCAACAACCCTAGCTGGCCTACCTCCGACGACACACCAGCTCGGAACTACCATTCCCGGTGGTACCACGGCGCCATCTAGCACTACAACAAAATCCTTCAAAATAGCCATAGACCCAATCACCGCTTCTCTACCAATATGCACATGGTTTCCCACACTAGCCGCCTCCACCACTGCTTTCTCCCCCACAAACACATGGTCTCCAATCTTTAACGGGTAGAATGAATGCACGCCACGGTGTAGACGCGACGGTGGGCGGAGCAGGCAGGAGCGTGAGAGGTATGTGTAGCGACCAATTGAGACGGCAACCGCGGGGCTAGCTGGGGCTGGATTGGAGGAGCTGGAAACTTGCTGTTCAGACTGTTGGCGGAACAAGTCACCGCGGATACACACGTCGGCTTGGATGACGGTCTTGCCGCCGAGAATGATGTGTTGGGTCCCATGCACCTGGGACCGGCGAGATACTTTGTTTCCGGTGTCCTGAGGGAGTTAGACGTGCGGTCTGGAGTTTTGCTATAGAGAAGTGGGTGATGGTGGGAATTACGGTTTCTATGTATTCTCCCTTGACAGTCTTGGGAGGCATGCTTGCGACATCCTCCTCTCCAGTTGACTATGGGAGAGGCGGAACAATCAGAGGAGAACTTGGCGGATCATTGAAACTTCTACCTAGGGCTACTTGTACTTGATAAATAGCCATAAGAAGAAGGCGGTGAAGGCATTCTGCACGTGATTCTCGTAGCCCTATCTCTCGAGTTCAAGTTCTCTATCAGGAACTCATAGATAGAGCTATTGCGAATAGCATCAACGGGGCTTTCCCCGATTAGCGTGAATGAAAGCTCCCATTCCCCGTTTCTTGGAATCTATCAACTGTGCCTAGTGATCTGCGCAACGGCTGCTTTATCCTCGCTAGCTAATTATTGTCTCCAGTAACTAACCCCGCAACCCGGTATTTTCCCGATCGCTGTCAAATCCACCAATGCTGAGCTTGGTTTGCGTGTCCAATCCAAATATCATTGGATCTAGCATTCCGGAATTATTCTCAGATTGCCTGATGGTCATTGTAGCCGTTACCTAGCTTGGTCCGTCCTACGTCGCGATGCATCTCCCCGTTGGTTAAGCTCCTGGGCGAACGTCGCTCGTTCGATTGTGCAAATGTGCTCGACTCTGCGAAGGTGTTTGGACATTAGCAGCATATGATTCAGCTCTTGACCTTAGGGGTATGAAGTATGCTACAGGGGTAAATCGCCAGGCACTAGCAGAGGAACAATTTACTCCCTTATGCATATAAGAAGTCAGTCTGCATCCTTGCAAAATGACCGTTTATAATATTTCCAATCGAAACCAGCCTGTCCAGCAAGACCCCTCGATATTGATACGTGATTTGGAGGCAACAAAGTTTCTATATTGCGTGGCTCAACATGACACACTCCAGCATCGCTCACTGGTGGACCAACATCTGGTTGGTATCGCTTGCAATCAATGGATACCATCCACTCCCGGTATCTGCCTCTGCCTCTAACACGTCAGATAGTGACAAACCCGTATTCACTATTCCAGCCAATGCGGATCGAGGGGCCTTATTACTTCCAAATATCAAAGATCCCAAATCGGCGAATGCACAGGATGTTTGTCCGGGGTATCTTGCGTCCGATGTCAAGGAAATAACGCATGGCTTCAGTGCCACGTTGTCCCTCTCCGGGAATTCATGCAATGTGTATGGGACAGATGTGGATAAATTGAATCTTACTGTCGAGTATTCATCCAAAGACAGGCTAAACGTGAATATCGTGCCAACCCATATTTCCTCCTCCAATCGATCTCACTATATCCTTCCCGATCATTTGGTACCGAGGCCAAAGCCAGCGGCGCATTCAGACCTTCGAAGTGGCGAGACGGATCTTCACTTCAGCTGGTCAAATGAGCCTAGCTTCTCGTTTAAAGTGACTCGCAGGAGTACAGGCGACGTGCTTTTCGATACGACGGGAACTGTCTTGGTGTTCGAAAATCAATTCATTGAGTTTGTTAGCTCGTTACCTGCTGGTTACAATCTGTATGGGCTAGGCGAACGCATCCATGGGTTGCGACTTGGGAACAATTTCACAGCTACGATCTATGCAGCGGATGTGGGTGACCCGATTGATACGTACGTTACTATATATGTTTGCACTTTCAGTGTGGTGATTTGACAGTTGTTGTTACCAGCAATCTTTACGGCTCTCATCCTTTCTATCTCGATACCCGATATTTCGAAGTTCAGAATAATAAAAGTCTGGTTCCTGTTGCTGACAATGAGCATGATTATTCGCGGAAATACGTATCGTACTCTCACGGAGTTTTCCTCCGAAATGCCCATGGGCATGAGGTTCTCCTTCAACCTGACAGTCTTACTTGGCGAACTTTAGGTGGGAGCATAGATCTGTACTTTTATTCGGGCCCATCTCAATCTGAAGTGACAAAGAGTTTCCAACTCAGTACAATTGGACTCCCGGCACTTCAGCAATATTATACCTTCGGTTTTCATCAGTGCCGTTGGGGCTACAAAAGTTGGACAGAGTTGGAAGACGTTGTTTCCAACTTTGAAAAGTTTGGAATTCCGCTTGAAACCATTTGGTGAGAATAAATTATGTCATCCTCAGTGTGAAACGGTAAGGCTAACCCTTAAACCATAGGTCTGATATCGATTTTATGAAGGGATACCGCGATTTTGAGTTCAATCCTGAAAATTATCCAATCTCACAAGGGCAGAAATTTGTCTCCACCCTGCATCAAAAAGGCTTGCACTGGATTCCAATCGTTGATGCAGCAATCTATATCCCTAATCCAGAAAACTGCTCTGATGCGTATGTCAACAATATCCCATAATTACTCCTGTTGTTAATTGACAGCAGTTGCATAGGTATAAGCCGTACGAGAGAGGAAACGCTTCTGATGTATTTCTCCGAAACCCGGATGGCAGCGTTTATATCGGGGCCGTATGGCCGGGATATACCGTGTTCCCTGATTTTTTGGCTGCAGGTTCCCAAGAATGGTGGTCAACTGAGCTGAGAGAGTTTTTCAACAAAGTTCCATATGACGGAATGTGGATTGATATGAATGAAGTCTCTTCTTTCTGTGTTGGCAGCTGTGGCTCGGGAAACCTTACCCTCAACCCAGTCCACCCCCCTTTCCAACTGCCAGGAGAACATGGCAATGTTATTTATGATTACCCTGAGGGCTTCAACATTACCAACGTCTCAGAAGCCGCGTCTGCGTCATCCGCTTCCTTCAGACAGCAAGTGCTGAAAACGGTGGGTATCGCAGCACCGACCACAACTACCACACTAGATTACCTTCGTACCACCCCCACTCCAGGAGTTCGCGATGTCAATCATCCTCTGTATGTCATCAATCATGTTCAGGGCGATCTGGCTGTTCACGCAGTATCACCAAATGCTACACATGCCGACGGAACCATGGAATATGAGATCCACAATCTTTATGGCCATCAGCTTCTGAACGCGACATATCATGGTCTCCTACAGGTCTTTCCAAATAGGCGACCGTTTATTATCGGTCGATCGACCTTCTCGGGAAGCGGGAAATGGGCTGGCCATTGGGGAGGTGACAACCAATCCCGCTGGGCCCATATGGTTTTCTCCATCCCACAGGCCTTGTCATTTTCGCTCTTCGGTATCCCGATGTTTGGCGTCGATACGTGTGGGTTCAACGGCAACAGTGACGAGGAACTGTGCAACCGGTGGATGCAGCTTTCAGCTTTTTTCCCATTCTACCGCAACCACAACGCCCTCTCGGCTATGTCGCAGGAGCCATATGCCTGGTCATCCGTCATCAAGGCAACCAAATCGGCCATGGCAATCCGATACGCTTTGCTCCCATATATATATACGCTCTTCCATCAAGCCCACACGACGGGCTCAACAGTCATGAGAGCCTTGGCTTGGGAATTCCCCAACGATCCAAGTCTAGCCTCAGCTGATCGGCAATTCCTCCTAGGTCCTTCCCTTATGATCATCCCGGTTCTCGAGCCCCGGTCGACGACGGTTAACGGCTTTTTCCCAGGTGTTGCTGACGGCGAGATCTGGTATGATTGGTATACGCGCACTCAATTCAAGGCAGTAGCAGGAAAAAACACGACCATTGATGCTCCACTTGGTCACATCCTCCTCTACGTTCGTGGTGGAAGCGTCCTTCCAATGGAAGAGCCGGCCCTAACGACCCGTGCAGCGCGAAATTCTTCATGGTCTCTTGTTATCGCATTGGACAGCAAATCCAGAGCACATGGACAGATATATATCGACGATGGAGAAAGCGTTGAGCCGACGTCAACTTTATCGGTGCATCTTAATGTGGAGAAAAGAAGCATCAATGCGGTCTCCACTGGAACGTATCAAGATACAAACTACCTTGATAACATTACTATTTTAGGAATGACCTTTGGTTCACCTGCGTGTAGGGTTAGGTTCAACGCCCAAGAAGTCCCTGACAAGCATGTAGCGTATAACCATACATCTCGTGTCTTGACTGTTACTAAATTGAAAGAGTTGATGAATGGAAGATACGCGTGGAGTGAGGCTTGGGTACTGGAGTGGTGATAATGTGACATTGCTAGCGTTGCATGCTTCCTAAGAAGACAACATGGTTGGTCTGTAAAGATGCATAGATCATCTCGATTATGCAAGCCTGCGTTAATAGATTCTGAGTATTTCTTATATGTAATGTATATCATGATTTAAACATAGTGCTAGCGATATTGTCGATTTGTAAATTGTGAAAAATATCGGGCTTCTCTCGGATGAGGGTTTGATTCCAAACTAAGGCGCGTTGGAAAACCTAGCGATCCGCTGTCATCGATAGAAATATGCAACTAGTTCATCGTATGTCTCTTGCGACTCCTCTTCTCCTGGTAATTTCCCCGCCAGCTAGAATCGCAATTTTTGAGCCTCAGCCTTGAGTTTGCCACCTTCTATTTGGCCAACATCATGGAGGAGCTAGGAGAGCTGGAACATTGTTCGCGCGATCTCAGGCCGTGTGTCTATGGAACGTTTTTGTAAATGGATCTTCAATGCCACATTGAGATATTCGCTGCATACACGGGTCGGAAAGTAGCCCCAAACAAACATTTGGCCGTGAGGCTTACATTGCCATTCCATACTCCCCTTGTTTGCGCAGAAACCAGGCGATTTTGTTGTAACAGGCTACGGTCTTGTGGTGAGTTGCCCCAAGAACCTGTTGATGCACTTTCACACTCTGGGTGAAAAGATCAAAGGCGGCATCAAACTTCCCCTTGTCAATGAGTACGTTCGCAAGGGCCGACATAGCCCAAGATTTCCTATGTTCCTAAGGTTACTTAGAGACTGAAAGGAGGTTTTGATTTAGACATACTGTGCAAAAGGTGCTCCCGTTGCCTCTTCTAGCTCTTTGATGATAGAAATACTTTTCTCATATGCGGCAGTAGCTTTGTCAAGTCCCTTTACCATCCACCAGCATCGACCGATGTTCATGTAATTCAAAGATAACAGTTGCATCTGATCATCTGCATACTTAGGTGATCCCTCCCGAATAACAATGGCCTTTTCATGTAAGCGAATTGCATCGCGCGGATTCATACCCGCGATAAAGACGCCGATGTTTATGTAAGAGTTAGCTAATTGAGGGTGATGTTTGTCAAGCGCATTGTCGGCAACTGCCTGCTCTTTGATCTTTAACGACCGCTTGGCAAATTCGACTGCCTTCTCCGCCTGAGATAGCTCGTTGTACATTTACATATCAGCTTGCAAACTATACAGGTCAGCTAGCAGTAGGCCATGGTCCGGGAGATCAGCCCTGTTGTAAACAAACTCTGCCGAGCCAACAATAGAGAAGCTAATATCGAACCGACCCCTCTCAAAAAGATACCTATATCATAATTAACAAGACATGGAATTTCTGCGGAGACGGGGTCGTAGTATAAACGCCATCGACATACCATGTACAGCAGTAAAGTAGTTCAATAAAATCATAAGATGGCGTCAGCATGATTTGCTCTGATAACCTGCAATAGCGCTCATTGAACGCTAGTACGTGCGATACGTCAGATGTCATGTCACCGTGATTATAAGCAGGCGGTCCGCGCGCACCATTTTGTCAACAATCCTTGAACTGGCCGATAGTCGTAACTAATATCAAGCCAATAATCGCTAAAAAAAGATACTGTCAGGACATAAATGTTGGAAACCCCCACCAGTTTTCTGCCACAAAAGGCACCATGATTGTGTGGGGTGGGTTGCCAATACTTATGGCCTGGCACTGTATGTCAATTTTGTTTACAGCCAGACGGCGAGATAATTTGTGATGATTTTGATTGGCTGAGCCTCAGTAGCTAGCATTCACTTGCTTAGTACATAGTATTTATCGCGAAAATGTTAGACTGTATATGAAGAATAAGTATAACGAAAGCTTTGCTCCACGCTTTCTCGACAATTAAATCCGTAGGTAGCAAACGAAGTACCATGTTATAAAAATTAATAGAAGAAAAGAAAATAAATCAAGAACAATTAAGAGAGAACTTGAAACAGAGTCAGTGAGAAGGTAGGATTCAGAACATGTGTCCCTGTGACAAAATATACTCGTGCACAATTATCGAAGCTCACCGTCGTAGTGAACTTTCAGAGCTGCAATGGAGGATAAAAAGAAAGGAGAAAGTTATTAATCAGCCACAAAATTTCACTTAAAATGGTATCTAGCGAGGTGAAGAAAGAGAAAGGAAGAAACGAAACGGACAAAACTTACTCATCGGGAGCGCCGAGTAGCCACCCCAGTCTTCTCGCATATAAGCGAAATGTCCGTCAGGACGGCTAATTCTCGCCAGTTGGCCTTGAGGGCCCGGCGCAGGGCGTAGGTTATCTAGACGCCCAACTACACGCAGCATGGAGGATAGCGCCACCATCTGTGCGTCTCTTCCGAAACAGGTAAAAGCGCCATCAGTGTAATGGATATAGGATTCCAGAGGTCTGTCAAGAACGACTTCGTCAGGCCTTGGGAATATGTTGGGGTCCCTAGCAGAAGAAATCTTTAGAATTAAAAGTCAGCACGAGATACACGAGGTTTTTAGATGGGTTAAAAATTTAAGCAGGGTGGCAAAAGTAAGATTTTTACCATGCTCACGAAGACTGTATCTCCATCGTTGATGGAAACTTCACGACCACCATCATTGATGAGAATGTTTGCATTTGAATCGCGATAGGAACTGAATGGCCCGTTAAGTCGAAGCCCCTCCATACAATAATGCAGAAGTTTCGTGTCGGATTCTAAGGAATCCTCCTTTGCAAGGCTGTTGATATCAGGGAGGTGTATTTTGCCCTCATCTGACAAGTAATAGTCGATGATTTGAGTAAACTTAATAGAAGTTAGTTCATGCTTTCCAAAATGAGCAGCGAAAACACTTACAGCCTGGGCTTGACTTGGAACTGCTGTACAGATAATGGGAAGAATATACGACAAAGCCACCTGTGGAACGCTGAGGCCGGCTTTTAGAAGCCTGCGGGTTGCGTCCGCGCCGAACTTGGCCAATGTGTTGCCATCCTTCTGGAACCTATCAATAATACTAGAGAACGGATTAAACGCTTTGATAGATTTGACATATGACTCCACAACCTGACCAAACTGTTCACCCACTTCACGAGCCACCTGTCGCAGGGGGAAAGATTTTGTGGGGTCTACATCAGAGAATACACTGGTGAATGCCGCCAGCATTACCATGAACATTTCATGGTCGGTGAATACTCCCTTTGAGTTATCCTTTGTTTTGATAGGAAGATTAAAAGTACTTGCAGCGAAGTGCACATGCGTGAGATTACCGAGACTGGAAATTAATTAGTTCAATGGGTCTTTTGAGTAGGGGGTCTGGTGATCGTACTCCCGGGTGATATCAATCTGGTTAATTCCAGCAATTTTCACTGAGTTCCGCTTCAGCAATTTTTGAGTGATATCCTGATAGAATTGCTTGACTTCCTCACGCCACGAGTCTTGAGCAAAGGTTTCATCTATGACTTTAGCTTGTGACTCATTGAAGCCCTGACTTGCAAGATGTGAACCGAGGGACGCCTCCCAAGTGACTCGGAAATCTTTAGAGTTCTGAAGAATTGTTTTTGCTCCATTGTAGGAAGTGAGGTCAATTCGAGGGGACAACAACGCAGGGCGATCCCAAGAAAAATGACTCTGTCGGCCCAGCTTGGCAAAAATTTCCTTGTTTACGCTGGGAATCGTCATGGGATAGTGTGCGTAGATGGAGTCTGGGCTTGACATAATTTGGAAGAGCGCGTAGCATCAGCTTGTAGAACATACACCCCCTGGTTGATGCTAAGATCATAGTGAGTCTCTGTATATCCCCAGTTTGTCAAACTTTTGGCATTGTAGTCGCTCTATAAAGGATATGTTAGTTGTGGTTTGCAGTCACAACACCAGGAATAAGGAGTTAATAAACGAAACTGAGATGACATACGGTGTAGAATCGGTCACCACGCACAAGTGCTACTGCGTCTGAAAGAACTGCTCTCGAGATAGTATAGGTTGGACAAATCCCGGCTCCAGGGACCATAGGAATCTTCGGCTCCTCTGAAACAATGCCTGGGTAAAGCTCAACATAATCAGGGTGCTCGTATAAATTCCGAAGCTGGCCGGCTATTTCAGGGTCAGAGTTGATTTCCTCAAATGATTCATACTGCTTTAAGCCGAAGAACTTCCGGAACTCATTCAAAGTGCCACAGCCGAATTTCCGCGCCTGCTGAATTCCAAGTATTTCGACTGCTCGGAGGGCCTTGGGAACGTTACGTGGACCGAATGTTCCTATATTCTCCTTAGACAAATACGAATTAAAGCTTGTGAGTACACTCACCTGCAACTTCCTCAGTCGCTTCGGTTATAATTCTAGCCAGATCTTCATCCCTAAACCGTCCATCTGCTTGCCGCTTTAGCTTGGCAAATGTCCTCTTAGAAGGGTCTTCAGGAAGTTTTTGTTTCCATTTTCCCATTCCAACCATCAGCTCTGGCATAGAAATATCTTCCCCGCTTTTGCCAAAAAGATCGTGGTAGATATCGTTGATCCATTTCTCATCAAGTTGGCCGATACATGAATGCCACCGATAAGCAAGGTTGAACTCGAAAGATACCTGGTTACCAACGCCGCTTTCCGCAGATTCCGGAGCAGCAACTTTCTTCGTGTCAATTCTTGGGTCCTGCAAAAAAGTTAGCATATATTCAACGTTGCGAAAGTGTATTGCGTACCAAACTCCAGGTCGTGTTGCTCCGTGTAAGGTTGATTATGGTTCGTACATAATCGTACAATGTGATATTTATATAGAGGCCACATGTTATACTATTCTCATATTAGGTATGAATAAGGTTAACCATCTGAATAAACTTACAGCCGCCCGGTCTGGAACAAGTCATTATCATATTTAACCCATGCCTTTGCCGATTGATCTGGTGGCAGGTTAGCATGGGGTTTAGTGAACCGGCCATTCTCGTTTATCTGTGCTAGCTGTTCGACAACATAGTTGTGGAATCTGGGAAAAAGGGTCAGCCTTTGAACTAGGTTGATAGACCAAATCCAGGAAGTTTAATAAACAAAGCGATTGGATGAGCAGTGAGTATCCAATTTACTTACCGGTTCAGCAGGACCAAAATAACGCTGCAAGCAGGTGGGAGTGCGAGAAGTCTAGGATCCGAAAATGTATCGGCTTTGAGTTTCCCATCCTTGAAGGTACGCATTTGGTTTTGGTCATCTTGATTATCACCATAGAGCGTGGAAAGATCAAGATACGAAGAAGTTTGTGAGATGTGCTGATTCCTTGGATCGGTCTGGAAAAGGTCTTTCAAACCAGTTAGCGGATTCCAAATGAAGATCGCACAACGCAATATTACCGTGAATTATCAACGATGCCCAACTGAAAAATACGCTAGAGACTCCAGTGGGGTGAGGCTTAAATTCCTGGCGAGCGAAAAGACTATCGAAGATCAAACCCGGGTCTGGAAGTGCCGCAGGCTGGATAGTGATAGGTCTGACGGAGCGCGCGTAGGGTGTGTTGGCAGCTCCCAGTCGGGGAAACATTGGGTTGTTGTTCGATCCATCGGCGGCTCTGTAGCGATACTCGTCGCCGAGATATCTAAAAGGGAAATACGTTAATGAAACGCAGGCGTTTCACAGCACAAAGGATCCTTACGCGAGGGGTGGATGAGGAAGAGAGACCCAGAGTGATTTAACAAAAGTCTTGGTGAGCTGTTCTCGCGCTGATGATTCTGGAGGGAGATTGGCCACAAGCTAAGTAGGCAGAAAGAAGTAAGTCTCTGGCTTTTACTGCGTTCATCGGCTTGACCATACTTGAATAATTCGCTCCATGAGGTAGTCCCTATCGTCGACAAGTTTGCCAGAAGTTTTGCTCTTTACCACCTCCAACAGGGTCCGGACGCCCTTCCAGCCCATCCACCTCACTTCTTGAAATTTGCCGCTGGATCCATCTTTCTTCATGCGGGAATGGTCGCCGCTGAATTCCGAATACTTTGCAAATGTATCCTCAATTTCCTGTCGTTCGACGCGGCGCCCTTTGCTGCGTTTCGCGACGGGTAGGGGTGCATCCTTCAGTTTACCATTCACATGCCCATTCTTCTGGCCGGATTGTGAGTCAGAGCGGCATCTAAGCCCGCCATCTGCGCAAGATAATCTGTGATAGACAGGAGGAATAGACAACAGAATAGACAAATAATTCAGAAAATGTATTTTTCGAAAAGGTGAAGGGAATGAAATGTTTTGTCAAGAAATCAATCGACAATGAGAACACGAATGATTGAATTTCCACTCTGCCATGATGATTTCAGCTGGAATAAATGCCTCCAAAAATTACACCGGTGTTCGCAGAAGCTTGTTATTTTCTGTCTTGACGTCCGGATCAAGGCTCCGCGGCGCCCGATCCATGCAGAGCTCCAGCTTGCTCAGAGGGTGCCACATAATAATTTGAGCTGTCGGGTACTCGGCCAGCGATGAAATGCTGTCACAAAAGTAATCTATCATAGTGCTCGGTTAAGGGCACGCATCTGCAGGACATTTGACCGACAGAGCTTCAATTTTAGCAAATCAAAAGGGATGGTTGGACAAGCAAGAAGGTGAGATAGACAGACGAATTATTGAATCGTTGCGACCAATAGCTCAACACAAGAGGTAAGGATTGGCGGTTTCATTTGATCATCACAAATTGATTCCTGATTTAGTGATTCCTGAGGAATCCTGACTGGAAGAGCCAATATCATTCAGTCAAGCCAGGAAGCGAGCAAACCACTTAATTGGAGGAGATGATTGACTTCACGCCTGTCGGTTGTCAGCATCATAGGTGCGCGAAGCATACTGCAAGAACTGCATCGTATGCACGCGCCATACTCGGGCAGAATTTGAATCCCGGATCGAAGAGTAAATTGAGTGTGCATTTGGCCATAAACCTTTCGACGCTGTCTCTGGCTTGGGAGTCTTATTGGTGGTGTCCAGCCAACCGGTTGGAGGTTTGGAAAGGAGTAAACGGAGCCTTTGGAACCTTGGAAGCTTGAAGCTCCATCAATCACCTGATTTGCAGAACACCACCTCACACTCTCAGCCTCTCATCAACTTCCACGCTTCCATTCTGTTGGCTCTTCCAACATCATTGCTCGCTCCACAACAATGTTCGATCCTCGTTTACAGTTGATCAACGGCGGGGGAGGTGGAAAACATGGATGCTACCTGGTGCCCCACCATAAAACTACACTATTGATGCCATTCGATCTGGGCACAAGGACTTGGACTCGGACTGCTCTCCTCAGAGCCTTGATCTCTGAACTCACGCACTGGTCGACCCGGCTCTTTGTCCAAAGCCATGTGTTTGAGTCACCAAGTTCTTGACTAGCTATACGCCGTAGGTAAATCTTATTTGACTTTTCTTCCTCCTTTTGTTATCAGGTCGGCGCAATTTTGTCTTTGCAGGGTATTCGGGACCAATCGCCTCTCTTAGTAAAGGATCCTCTTGAGGTTTTCTTCAGATGCACTTCAGGTGCATTTTCGGGCTATTTCTCAGCCAGCCATAATCATCAGTCGAAACCATTGTGTGACGGACTCGGTTTTCATGATCCATTGACAGAGCATTGGAAGGGCGTCCAGCGCCTAACCTGTTTGAGATCCCGGGACAGGGAAACCGAAGGGTTTCCGGGCGTTTTATTTTAATGTGGAGTTCTATTTGAGAACATCCAGTGCTCCGCCCGTCAGGCTGACCAATGTTGTCATTCTTAGATCTCACGTTAAGGCTAGTGGCTGAGCCCATCCGAAATAGGTTGCGCTCACCATAGCTTCAGTGTCGATGGATCCAAATTTCAGCTTCGGCTAACTTTACCTGCAGAACTCCTCTTCGATCAAACACCAGCCTGTGCAATCCTCCAGCGTGATTCCAGCTGTGACGATGGCTCCGCCTTGACATCCCCTGAGTTCAAAATAGATAAATACATCCCGCAGTGACGTTTAGAAATGTAGTCATCCACCACTTTCAAGTGATTACTGCTGTGCTTGTTCCAACTACATTGAGCCCCTGATTGGGAGAAAAAGAACCATATTTTCTCACATAAAGAACGTTATCAACGCAGCCGAGTTTTACACACAGTGATACAAGCAGCGCTGCGTCGCACTAACTTAAGAAAACCCCACCAAACCTAACGCCTCTTCGGACTATACTTCCTCTCTTAGCAGTAAATCCAATTCCTCTTTCCTTTGTCGACACCACTTTGCAAGTACCAGCAGCATCGATTCCGCATAAATTCGTCCTGATGTCACATTACGCCTCAGATATTCCAAAAACATTTGTCCTTTGCTTCGATGGTACCGGTAATAAATTTTCTGGCGACGAGTCGGACAGCAATGTACTAAAAATATTTCGAGTCAGTGATCAATGCTATAAACATTCAATGTAAAGATAGTATTTTCAGTGCTGACATTAAACCGCAGATGCTAGATAGAAATCAAGGACAACAATTCCACTATTATCAGCCTGGAATTGGGACTTATGTAACGTCAGCGAAAATCTCAAGTCATGCAGGCACATTTTCTCGCATCAAACGGAGCTGGACAAAGGCAAAAGACGCAGCTATTGGCTCATCGTTTGATCAACATGTGCTTGCTGGCTACCGATTTCTGATGCGGTATTATTCTCCGGGCGATGAAATATTCTTCTTCGGATTTAGCCGTGGGGCGTATATAGCTCGCTTTCTGGCCGAGATGCTGGACTACGTTGGCCTCCTAACGATTGGAAATGAAGAGCTCGTCTTTTTTGCGTGGAAAACCTTTTCAAAATGGCAACAGCGAGCAGGGATCAGTAAGGCGGATATCAAAAAGAGACACGATCTATATAATTTCATGAAAGCTTTTCGCGAAACGTTCAGTCGTCCAATCCAGCGGATTCGGTTTTTAGGCCTATTTGACACTGTGAACAGCGTTCCCAAATTCGAGTCACCATGGATGTCGCGGAACAGATTCCCCTATACCGCGAGAAGTTCGGCCAAGGTTATCAGACATGCAGTTGGCATTGATGAAAGACGTGCTAAATTCCGCCAAGACTTGATCTCTCAAAACCATCACCCCCAAGAATCACAGTGTGGATATCACCGATTTTCGTTCATCTCACGTATATCTTCCCGCAGAAAGAAGAAGCAGGCTTCGATAACGCTCCGGGAAAAATCCAAGTCAAGGACAGGCAAGGGTGAAACCGAAGCTTTAGGAAATGTCAACGCCAATCTACTTGAAACAGGTTGGACCCAGCCTCAAGAAGAGAACCGTTACCGTCCATCATATCCTCATCATTCGATGCATAATCTTAGTCTGTCGGTCCCTGATAACCGTAATTTCTCTGCTGATTGTGCGAGCTCCGCCGATAGTGTGGCCCATTTCCCGCCACACTCTTCTCATATTACCGATGACAGATCCTTCCAATCGGACCAAACTGTCCAGGATATCCAGGAAGTTTGGTTCCCTGGCTGTCATGCTGATATCGGTGGTGGCTGGGGACTCATGCCAGGAGAGAAATGGCCACTCAGTCATGCACCCCTGGTCTGGATGGTTCACGAAGCTCAACGCGCTGGATTACTATTCGATGAGCGCAAACTCAAACAATTCGAATGCACATTAGAATTCTCTGGCGATTACTCACCCATTGAGAAATCATGGAATATCGACCAGAAGCAACAACCAAATCCACCGGAGATTGTAATCAATGGAGTGGATGATTCAGCCGTCCAAGAAGTTCCCCAAGACGACCCAGAACAGTCTTCATTATCAAGGAGTTTTTATAATGCTCTACAATACTCTGGAACCAAAGGTCACATCCATGACTCTCTGGAATTTACGTCTGGTCTACCAGCCGTATCAGTATTAGCATGGAAAATGATGGAGTATCTTCCCTTTAAAAGGATGGATTTACAGCAAGATGGCTCTTGGGCCCCTATTCGTTGGCCTCTACCCTGCGGGGAAGTGCGCGACATTCCGTTGGATGCAAAGATCCATAACTCTGCCATTCAGCGGTTAAAGGCGGACAATAACTATCGTCCTGGTAATCTTATTATTGGCGGCGGCGGTCGTGGAGTCAGGATAGCTCCAGAGGATCTGGGCATTGGGGAGTGGGCTGTTTTAGACCACAAAGGAGATCCAGTGAGAGAAACGTATGTGAGGGCTAGTATATCAAAAGCCGCGCAGAAGAAGAACGGTAAACATGGAAACGGGAAACAGGAAAATGGGACACAAACAAACGGAAACTAGTCCAGTGGCTCTATTGTCTTTCATTCCGTTCTATGTGAACAATTTTTAGTCGTTCCCATTTTATTGTTTTTTGATCAGAGCGTCGCTACATCGCTATATATTGGAATCCCGTCGGAATACGCAGCTTCTCATTCCCAATAAATATTCTTGATATCCATCTCCATCCTCTCCCACAAGATATGATAAAGTCGACGGCTTATCTTCATCCGCAAAACCCAGCGCTTATATTAAAGTGATTTTTCCTCTTTCGATTTCGGCTTCATTGCCCTTTTTTCGCAAATACCCAACGGAAACGTTCCTACTACTGTCGATTTTTCCATAAATATTTTAATATATGTAAGATAAACTTTGTTGCTGCGCGCTGGCTGATTTCCTTCCATCCGTTTCTATTTGATTGACTTTTAATATATATCGACGCTATCCTAAGTCCTGCATCCCACCCACATATAATTAAATTAATCTTTCTGATATGAGCATAGCACTCAAATTTTACCAATGCTTTCAGATTGGAATCCACTCTCTGCGTGGATACTAAGTTGTAGCGGGCACACCAACCTCCGTTCTTTGCATCAGAGTCATGAAATGTCGAAAAGAAAAAGAGTCCATATAAGCTATGGAAATCTGCACACCTTGTCGATTGTTAGAAGGACTTAGGTAGCCTGTGGAAATCGTTTTCATGCATTTTGTTTATCTCAGTTGCTCTTGCGTACAGGGATCACCGTGGAAGCGTGTGGCCCTTGGTTCTAGATGCGTCATTCCGCTGACGGGAGAGATTATAAAAATAGTAGCCATGTATATAAAAGTAGACATCGCAGAGATCTCACAGCCTCATATAATTTAGCTCTAAATATAACAGGCTATCTCTAACTTAAACGTGGCCAGATTTATCCGCTGCAAAATGAACAAGGCGTAAGGATGGTTCTAGCACCGACTTCGCCCTTCGATACGCAACAAATATAGCTAACGAAGTTAAACTAGGACGACATCATTGCTTTAGCATTAATTATGAAAGAAAATCTGGAAGTTTTTTTAAGAAAAAAAATTCACACGGATTAATTAAAAAGGAATTCACTGTTCAGCTCCAACCCTGATTCGAACAAGGGACATTGCGATAGAGTGCGTAACTGCAATCGCACGCTCTAACCGCTGAGCTACTGGAGCCGGAATTTGTCTTTTCTTGGTCGACGATATGCATGATATATTATCATTGGCGGGAGGAAATGTGGGATTAGGTAAGCTAATTATCATTCCACTTGTCCTCATATAATATTTGGGTTCGAACTCTCACCTGATTCGAAAAGGGTTTCCGATTCTTGTCAAGGATACCTCTAATTTCTTTATACTAATGATCGCACTTCTCTAAGGCTATCAGTTCGTCAATAAGCTAGCTATACACCCTTACTCTCCCTGATTATTATGTCCCGTCCATTTTCTCAGGGAGGTAAATACTTTGGGGCAATGCTACCAAATCCCGTAATGAATGGGTTATATTTCGTGATCTAATTCTCGGAGGCATGCCAGCTAAAATATCACAAGGTTTGCCGCGAAGGATTCTCACTTCATCAAGCCATTGCCCTTTTTGCTGCGTGTGCCGGCAGGGATTCGTTGGGACTTCATCTCCTCTAGGATCTGTGTTTTGCGATTACAGACGTTGAAACCTATCGATTCGATTCAGCCCATGATGTCCTAGTCATTGTTATTCCGCAATATCACATCTGGATATATCTACTTCTCTATGATTCGGTCTAGTGCTGACTTGCTTCCTGGGGACGCGTCTGAGCCTGGGAAGGGAACCAGTAGGTGGATCCTGCGCTCGTTCGATCCTTTGACGTACAAATACATAGATTGGATGATATCTATTCTCATCGGAGGTTGAAATACACGTTGAAATACACATCGCTCTTATTTAGCGCGGTAGGGCTACATGTTGTGTGAGTCACTGAGTTGAGTCGGGCGAGAATGGAAATGGAGTGCGCCGGATACCGAAAATTGTCGGATTTCTGTTATGAAGAGCGAACTAATGTTTCATCAAGCACCCCAGCCCTCAGGCCCTTGGAGGAATTTACTTCTTCCGAGTGGAACTTTTAACCCCTATTCTCAACTGACATTTTAACTTCCTAGATGGATCGCCAGTAAGCCATGACTCGGACATATCGGGTTACGGTGGAACCTCTGACTTTCCCGTTTCAAATATCGATTCTATGGTCGCGGCGGCATGCAATTATGTATCAATACATAAGCCTTAATCAATTTAGAATCTATTAAAATAATGTCTGTTCTTGTTTCTATGATCTGGGACCCTGGTATCAATTTCTGTTGAGGGACAACATGAAACTTCACCATTGATTCCTAACCCCTCTGAGGAGACGATGCTGGAGCAACGGCAGGAAACAATCACCCACGACATTCTCAATACAAAGGCTTTGTCGAGCTCATTATGAATTGTTACCAATGTGCGGAATAGCTTCAGAATCCCTCGCCACCCAGCGGCTGCGATTTGATTCTGTTCATCGATCGGCCTTACCCGTCAGTTATTTTGGTCAATGTGATGAGAATGGGAAAGTACAAATGAAATTATTGCCATTGTTATTCGTTCCTATAGCCTTCGGTCTCACCCTTAATGGCGAATTCATCATGGCTCCCTTCCTAAGCGCCAGAGGGATCTTATATAATGTCAGCAGTAGCTCGTCAGCAATGATCAAACATATATATAGATATATCTATCTATCCCACGGCTTCAAACCGACCGCACCTACGAACCAACATTCAGATTTACATTGTTCATTCTTTTCTCAATCGGCCGCTAAAATTGCGAACACCTGATACATTATATTTGACAAGCGCCTCTCTACTCTCCAGCTTCCCGGAACTACCTTGAACCGCCTATATGACCATTGCATATCACGTTATCATTCTTGTCCTGGGCTTTCTAGGCCATGGGGTGTACAGCCACATGCAAATGCTGAACCCGCTCCCAATTCGAAGCCCCCTAGACCCTGCTAATTCTGCCAATATGGATTTCAATTATAAAGACCCACTATGGAAGAACGGATCGAATTATCCTTGTAAAGGATACTTAACAGATTCTTTCAGGGCAACTGCAGAGTACAAAGCTGGGAATGAGTACGAAATGACAATAGATCAAAATATAGCCACCCATGGCGGTGGTTCATGCCAAATTTCACTTTCTTACGACCAAGGGAAGTCGTTCAGGGTCATCAAGTCAATTATTGGCGGGTGTCCCATACCACTCAAATACAAATTTAAGATTCCATCCAATGCGCCTTCTGGCAAGGCAGTATTCGCCTGGACATGGTTTAATAGGATCGGCAATCGTGAAATGTACATGAATTGTGCCTACGTCAACGTTGCTGGTGGTTCAGGAGACGGCTTTGACAGTCTCCCTGAGCTCTTCAAGGCCAACGTTGCCCTTCAAACCAAGTGCGAAACCGATGAAGGGTCGGCTATAGTGTTTCCAGACCCGGGATCGGTTGTTGAATTAGGACCCGACGGTAATGGTCCACCGAACAGGGGAATTGTCAAATGTGATAGTTCTTCTGGCGGCCAAGCTCCTGGACCGAAGTCAGAACCACCAACTCCAGCTCCTCAATCTCCTGCAGATTCTTCTCCAACATCTACACCGGCTGGGTCGTCGCCTCAACAAACCCCTGCGTCACCGCCGCTTGACAGCAACCCCACTCCACCATCGAACCCGATGCCAGATGCAGGAGGGCAAGGATCTTCTCCACCGCCGGCGGCGGCTCCTGCTCCAGGAAGCTCCGGAGTTTGTACTGCAGGAAGCATAAAGTGTGACTCGGAATCTACATGGTCCATGTGCTCCGGCGATGGATCCCACTACATTTTCATGGGATCAGTGGCGGCAGGAACAGCTTGCAGAGGTGGCAAGATCGGTGTTGCATGAAAAGGAGGCGAAGGCAAGGAAAAGGAAATATTGGGTAGGGGTATTCCTTCTTTTTATCATTTTTCATTTTTATTTAAACATTTTATTTAAAGGCTGTGGAAGCTCAGAAAGTAACTTGAAACAGCACACGATGCTATTTTAATGACCTGTTGGTTTGTGGACGAATTTGATATTCGACCCAAGGCTGTGCCTGCCAGTGCCATTGTTGCCGTTTTTGATATTGCCCCCTACTTTTGTCACCTTGTGTTTCAAGATAACTACCTATCGGCGGATTCTTTCTTCTTTCTTTTTGTTGATTATCTTTGTTCCCCTGTTTTTTATTTTATTTTTATTTTTTTCGCCTACACTTATCTTGTCGTTGATATCTTGAGACAAAATGGCGAATGCCTAAGTGTTGCTTGTTCAAAATACGGCTGCTCTCTCTCTCCTGTTGAGGGGTGCTTCCCGAATCACGAAATACATACCTTCTATTTACCCTTCTGTCGCTTTGTGATTTCATTTCATCCATTTATACTAGAGAATGTTTTGTCCTGTTTCATGGGCGTTTCCCATTCTGCCTCAGAGCTCACAGGTATCGGACTTCTAGTTGTATACATCGCTTACAATAGTGTTGGTCATGTAATTTGATTTTATTTCAGTGATATGATATTCCTTGCTGAATTTCCATACGGATACGTACGTAGTCTTCGACTGTACGAATGGGGTGTTCTGCGATCCTCGACCAACCAACAAGACCAACAACCAACTGGTCAGGACCAAAACATGATATCAAAGTGAATGGACTATGAGAACATTGGAATATAAAATGTAATTAAAATATAATACAGGAATGAATTAATATATACAAATTATCCATAACTATGAAAGGAGCTGTTTTGACCACCAAATTTCAGCTTCTGGTTTAGGCTATTGGCTGTGAACTCAGGTGGAACCGAGAAGCACTGACCTTCAGCAGCTTTGTTTGCCAATCCACGGTTATGATATCGCCCGCATTTGGCAAGTTAAGTTGTTAATATTGAAAAGGATAGGCACGTAGGATCAGAATGGGATATTAGTAGGGGCTAAACAGAAAAATCGAAAACAGGCATTTCCCACCCACCCTTAGAAATCTCTTTGGCCCGAAGTCACAGGGAATTGCGCAGTTTCATATTGCGGTCTGGCCCCGTACCCATAAGAATACCCATCCTCCGCAGCGCCGCTCTGGCCATATCCATAATTTGCATACCCAGCACTCCCGCCACCTCCAAATCCACCTCCAAACCCTCCTCCACCTGGAGTGGCATCAATTCCAGCCCCAGGCATGCCAACCGCAGGTGTCACACCATATGCTTGCGTACCAGTCGCAGGCGCACCATATCCGCCGGCCTGAGGCTCGGCGTCAATACCCGAACCACCAGCCGTCGAGCCATGTGATTGCTTCCCCCGTCTAAACGCATTAGCGTAACGAGAATACGGTTTCTCGTCTTGATCGTCGCCGGTTACGCCATCGGCTCCTGGTGGGTAGCTGTTGGCTGCAGCACCTGTGGAGGGACCAACGGAAGTTTCTGGGCTGCGGCGGCGGCCAAAGGCCCAGAAAGATCGTCCTCCAGTGCGACTGGGGCCTTCTGTATAGTTGTTTCCAGGTGAGGGGCCGAAGCGCTTGCCACGTTTGTGATGGCGAGCGTAGAGGATTTGGGGATATAGGGGAGAGCGCGAAGGAGTATGCTGCCGGGTCACCAACGGGTGAGCACATATAGTGGGCGTTAAGACGTTAGAATGGGGAATTGTTGATGCTGTAAAGAAAAATTATTAAATAAAGGTAAAAATAAACAATAGCACTGCACCACCCCAACGATAGCAACGGCGAGAGATCCTTCTGCAATCGACAAGCATATCCTAAGCTCGGCATATATGTGAAGTGCCTATCACCTCCAGTACCGAAGCCGCCCTCTCCGAAGCCGGGAGCAGGTTGATTCGCAGCTCCAGTACCCAAAGGAGTAACAACGATCCCAGAACATGAATTTGCGCCATGTCGTGTCATGATTGCAATCGCAACAAAACCACAGATAAAACAAATGTCGAGAACAAGCATCAATGCTGCAAAGAATGCTATCCCTCCAATGCAGAGTGTGAATATCGACGCCGTCAGTGTGTACAGAGTTGCTGCACCGGAAATGCCCGTAACAGCTTTGACCCATCGTGCAATGGGAATGTTATGGTCGGTGAGGACTACGAGGAAATAAGAAAATATGCCCAGGATGATGGCTGACGCAGCGAGCTGAAAGAGACGGAACAAGAAGTTGGTAAAACGGATAAGAAACCCAGCGGTACTCATGGTTGCGGGCTAGCAAGCCTATCCAAGCTTGCGTATAATGAAACTATCGGGGCTTGTAAATCAAATCGACAAACAGCAGGGAAATGTCGCGCAGTTAGAGTAAATATGTCATGCTAACAGTGTGTGAAAAATGCCTCCCAGGGAAAAATTAACAACAAAAGAACAAGAATAACAACTGCGATGGAATTGGGCGGATTTTGGCTGTCGCCGAGCCGTGGCTTCTCAGGAAAAATCGGCCGTCGCAAGGAGGAGCCACACGATGACGTCAGGGTAGGTTGGCGGCTGGTTAACTTGGAGCTGCGAGAAAAAACGAAAAGCCAACAATAAAAAGTCGACCCGGTTGGAGAGAGCTATTCAACTTGCGATCGCTTTCTTTTTTGTTTTTTACCCTTTATCAGCGTATACGCTGCGCCATTTGACCCTCAAGTGCGAGTTCAAAAAGCGTTGTGTGGTACAGGAAAACAGCGGGAATCCAGTATGGGAGCAATTACGTCAACTGCCCGCATTTCACATGTTAAAAAAAAAAAAAATAAAAAATAAGTAAGCGGGGAGTGGGTAATTGAAGAAAAATAAAGGGAATAAATAATCAATAATAAGGAGCGTAAAGGGAAGTTGGGAGACAGAGCAGATCATAATTAGATTCACCGTATTAAACCACGCACAGGGTTTCGGAACTGACTGAACAAATAATTTAGCCTTGCATTGATGCGTATGAAAAGGTGTTTAACCTCTCAACCGAAGTTCGTAAGGCAGTCATTCTGGGGACATCGTGGGCAGGTTGAATTGATTTCTAGTTTTGTGAAGCAACACCACTGGACAAAAGGATGGACGGTAATTGGTATATGGTGTGAGAGTATCAAGGAAAAGGCTGAGAAATTTAATCCGTGGGGTAATAACGCGGTCACTTCGTCCTGCACTTTGGTTACTCTTTTGCTAGTTCTTGGTCCACGAATGCTCGCAATATCGATTCTAAGCCCTCATTTCGCCGAGCTAGGAGCATCACGTCGGATAAGTTGATCGTTGACCGCCCGGCATGTCTACAGTCGATGGGGTCACAGAGTAAGCAAAGACGAGAAATATCTCGGCGGAGAGGCACTAGGCTTTTCAGATTGCAAAAGAGGCGACAGATGCAAATTAACTCTTACTTGGCGAATGCCTCCAGGTCCTGTCCTACGGTTTCTGAACATGATATCAGATTCACGCACACAATGCTCTCTTGGGATTGCCATAGCCGGCATGAAGAGAGTAAATAATTTCGCATCAAGACAGGGTGGAATGTACCTATTTGTGCCCAAACCATCTCCATCAGCGCGCCTATAAACTGCGGAGTCGCATCGACACCTAGTTTAATAGTTTCATCGTCCACAATTCTCCCAATTTCAAGCCAAAGAGCCGACTTAAGGCGCTGCGGGTGTACGAGCAATATTAGCATGTCCAGCCATTGGGGGATACTGCATCAACAAATATGGCAGTTTAGACTGACCTCTTCTAGGGCCACGGAATCCTGTTCTTGCTCAGCCATTGGAGTGGATGTTGGGGTTTTCAGCTGGAATCCATGGACACTAATTAATTATCGTCCCTGAAGGTTGGGCTGGAATGAAACGCGCTAGACGCGACATTGGATCAGTTAAGCGTTAAGCGCTAAATAAGCGATCACGAGATGATGACGTAATTAATTCTCTCTTCTCTTTTTGATTATTTTTTTCCGGCTTAGAATTGCCGCAAATCTGCCAGTCGGATAGGCGTAAGCTGGAGCAGAAAACCATTTATATTCCGTTCCCAGGGATATCCAAATACCTAATTATGACCGCCCATCCCATCAATGAGGTGTAGCCAATCGTTTTGGAACCCCAGTCTTCTCGCACTATGCAAACACGTAACCACTCGAAGGGCCTTCATCCTCGCACCTCTCCGCAACCACCAATCTCAAACCTCCCAATCAGATAGAAATCCATCCACCACCTCGAACGACAAATACTACCAAACGGCAACCCTCACATAAAAAGCACAAGTTCCATCTCAGACCGCTGCAGCAACAATGGCCACGTTAGACTCGTCCTCCATCCTCGCCACCCTCCAAACCTGGTACACTAACCTAACATCCAATCTCTCCAACTCCCTCTCTTCCCTGACGCTGCGCGACTACATCCGCCTCGTCTGGATAATAGGCGGCTACCTCTTCCTACGCCCGTACATAGATGCGGGTTTCCGCAAGCTCCTCAACACTAATATGGATAAAGCCGACGCGGAGGAGAAAGAGCGGGAACGAGCGGAGGTGGAGGCTGCGAATGCGGGTTCGGCCGGCGCGAAGGCGAAGATCTCCGCGAATGCGCTGAGGGGCGCGCTGGGTGTGGGGAGTGATAGTGAGGAGAACGAGGAGGAAGGAGAGAACGGGACGGGAAGGGTGGCGAAGCCGTCGGGTGTGCCGCAGTGGGGGAAGAGTGCGAGGCGGAGACAGAAGAGGGTGTTGAGGCAGCTTGAGGAGGCGGGGGAGAGACTGAGAGAAGATGAAGATGATAATGATATTGCTGATTTGCTGGAGGATTGATTTTTATTTCGCCCTCTTTCCTTTTGTGGCGTTGGGATTTTGGGATACTACAAATTCTGAATATTGCGCTACGTCAATATCTTATTCGATTTTGCTGTTTCGTATGAACAAAAACTTTGAATCCCGATTGGCTGTCTTACTTTGGGATTAACTTGGTCAATCCCTGCAGAGAGCTCTCCGGTTGAATATATGATGGAAATTTTACTCCTGTATGAAGGCCGTATATAGTATTACTCTGTGTTGTTGCTTTTTTCCATCACCCATTATTACACCCCAGACAGAATTTGAATCTCAACTGCCCATTCAACAAACTTGCATTAAAGGAACCGTCACAACCCAACAAAAAGCACAAAAGGCTTCCCTCCAGGGTTTACAAAAGATTAAATCAGAGTGTTAAATCGCTAGTTAGTCGATACACTACTATCCGTATCCACAACACGCGACAAGCGAAGTGCATTCGTCCTAATGCATCCTTCTCAGTTCTTCCACAAGCCCCTTAACACTCTCAACAGTGACCCCCGTAACCCCATCCGCAATGACCTTCCCGACGATTTCCTCTTGTAATTCCACACTACAGCTCAAAAACCGCTCAATGAGCTCTCCGTCAACGAACCGATACGGCTCCTCCGCCTGACGTATGGTATTCCTGAAGGCACGGAACTTGTTGAATGGCATCCCGCCAGGTGTCACAACCATACCAGCCATTGCGGATTGCAAGCGCATGAGCAAATCTTGGTAGGTAGGGTTGATGATTCCGAAGAGGTAGATAGAGCCTTCGACCTACATATCCATCCCATAGATTTGGGCGTCGTTAGTTTTCGACGTATCATGAAGAGTGAAGTATAAATTGGAAAAAAAAAATAAATAAAATAAATAAATAAATAAAATAAAAAAAAAAAAATAAAATTAAAAAAAAAAAAAAATGGATAAAACCATAAACTTACCGTCCCTAAGAACGCTCTCGGCGAAATTGCCGCCTCCGCCCCCTGTGATCCCTGAATATTCACCGGCCGTATCCGATTTACCATCTCCCCAAGTAAAATCTCGCTCGTAACCTCTAACCTTCGTCTATCATCATCCGTCACGCCATTGACATTCCGATGAAGCATGACAAGATTTCCCTCAGCGTCGCTTTCAAGCCACGTATCTTCGGCCACATGGGCAACAGCAGTGCTCCAGAGGGTTTGGAAATGGCGGGCGACTTCTGTCAGGCTGTCGGGCAGGCCGTTGGAGCCTTGTTGATATTCGACGATGGAGACGCTTTTCATGAGATCAGCGACGGCGATCAAGTTGCCTGTCACAGCGATGTCGATAGGAGCAGTGGAGGTGCGGTAGCTGGCGGTTTTGGAGAGAGTATAGTCGGCGAATTGGCCTTTGGAGATCGTGTAGACAACAACCTGTTTTAGATTTACGAGTTAGTCACATGGATTGTTCTGGGAGATGGTATGGAAGGAGTATTTCAACGAACCGTTTTCATCAGAGCAGCAACTATTTTATCCTGCACAATAGCCAGCGCCCTACACGCCCCCTTAACAGGCATCTCCGCTACCTTCGCCAGTTGCCTGTTGGCCGTCACTTCGAATGCTAATATCCTCCCGCGTATTGAACCCTCACCAAAATCATCAAGATACGACGTGCCCACGACAAACAAGTCCTTAAATAAGTCATTACCTTCACGGTCGATTCCATCCGGGAACTGCGCGCGAATGACGCTCTCCACAAGCTCATCCTTATTCAGATCATAAATATCTAATTCGCGAAACATGATCTCATCAGCCAACATGAACCGACTGGCAATGACCTCCGCCCCATCTTCAAGCGTCCGTTTAATAGTGCCTATTCCAAACGCTCTTTCAGGTGCTGAATACGCGACCCTTCGCACTGTCTCGCCAACCTCCAGTGTCTGGATCTGCGTGGTCCGTTCAGCGTCCACGAGGGTGATTTTCAATTCTGACGGGGTGGCTAGCGCAATGGATCCCGGGTATGCTTCAGAGTTGAAGTGGCAGATGCGCGAGGCCAGACCAGAGTTGACGGCGGAATAGACGATACGGCCCTCTACCGCGTATATTAACCTTGGCTGCTCGCAGGTAGCGAAGACGTTGTACAAACCGTCTCCTCGGGGGAGTTTCTTAAATGAAGGCTGCTCAGAGCCTAAAGTCAATTTGCTCATGCTTGTCAGGGAGAAATCTTCCAAATTGAAGGAGAAGGAAAATACGCTTCCGTCGGCCATGGAGACAAACAGAGTAGCAGGATTATTGGAGAGGACCTCTGCGACCAGCACAGAGCGTGGAACTGCATCTCCAGGTTCTCCCAGCGATGTACTACGGCGGATGGCAAGGTCTGATAGGCTCATGACGACAACTTCAGCCGTCTGTGGAAGGCAAAGAATACAGGCGCGGACTGGGGACGTCGTGACGGTAACACCAGACACCTGGGTATCGAAGCCAAAATCCTTCTCCCCAGTAATGTTGATATCGCCTCTAATATCGAAAATCATAAGAACCTGGCCTCCAACCATCAACACGAGATGATCGTCATTTGACGAAGCTGCCGTGATCGCTTTCTGCTGCTCCGGCGACCACTCCCAAATCACCATTCCACCATCGAGCTCCGCAACGCGGACATTCCATTCTGTGACTTGTAAAATCCGGCCATGTGGCAGATTCGCCGCGAGCAGCGTGCTTTCCGCAAGTCCCAGCCCCATAAACTCCTCTTTCTCCTCTACTTCCCCATCCGGCGTGAAATAGAATACCCGCGTCTCATCCACAAATGAAACCAACAAGGTATCTGAAAATTCCTGGGGACAAGCTACCCGCAACGCCCAGAGGTCCGTAATATGTTTCATAGCCCCTAACACGCCCACCTCCTCCATTCCAACGCCGCTTCTCACGGTTCTCAGACTTCCATCATTGAATGCACCGGAACCCGTAACAATCCGTGCCTGGCCCGACGAAAATTCATGCGTTTGACTCTCTCCTATAGCCCTCCCGCCTAGGTCCATAATGGTAAAATCAAGTATCGGGGCAATATTCGCGAAAGTCTGTATGACTTCAAACGATCCCTCAGTGATGCGGATAAGTTCAGGGTCCCCCTGATGGGAGCCAATAAACGTAATTCCACCACCCATGTAAACTAAGACAGACGCACGCGGGATATCACCCAGAAGGTCGAGCTTCCAGCTCTGCACGGCGTTGTCGGTGTCTAGAACAAGCATGAGGAAGAATAGCCGGCCATAGTCGTCTGCCAGCAACCATCGTTGACCATCGACCTGCTCCCAGGCAACGAAGATGGTGGCTTCTTTGAGTGGTTGTGAGATACATTCGTTACTTGCGTCGTCCAGATATCGGATTGAAGTTTCGCCAAGGACGAGGAGGCCTCCTATTCGTAAATAATGAGTAAAATGAATATAAATATATGTGGAGAATAACCAGCTATACAAGAGGGCTACAGAAAACATACCCAATGGCGCCGGCACTGGCACCAAAAAGCTAGCCCCCATTTCCAACTCCTCCTTCAACAAATCCAACCCCTTCAACACTGCCACAATTCCCCCATCGGCCCCAATCCCGCCCCCGCCGCCCGTCCCACCCCCCATCCGCATTCCCCCATGCATAACCTCCAGCTCCCTAACCTTCAACCGCACCTTCCCCATCGTGTCTTCATATAAAAGCTCCATCCTCGGTAATGTATCAGATCTGCATATGCGTAAACGTCGAGGACCGTACCAGACAGTTCCTCAACGCGGGCCTGACACGGATCACCTAATTCTTGGCCCGCCGCCGCAGCCCCTACTGCTGCATCCTGATTTGCGTATGCGGCGCTTGCACTGGCATTAGCAGCGCGTTTCCCCAACGTCCGCCCAGACCCTGAGGATCGTGTGGCCGAAGTGTGGGTATAACTGTGACGATGCCTTCGTATAACTCTAGTGTGAGGAATCTGCCGGAGGGATCGATGAGGCAGCGGTCGCCCAGTTGGGACGCGCGGGCCGAGGGGTCGGCGAGGTCAACGTATTTACGCTCTGTGCGGAGGTTTTTTGTCTTCTGGTCCCAGGAGACGGTGAAGTAGGAGGCCCTGTCCGTGCCTATGAAGAGGATATCGGTTTGGGGACGGAAGGGGGCCGGTTGTAGGGGTAGCTGGTGGTCCAGGGACTGTGGTTGCGGGGGTGGTTTCGAAGGTAGCGGAGGCCGTGAGAGCTTTGCAAGCATAGTCACTTTGCCGTATATGGCCTTTGAGTATTCGAGGGAGAGGCCATCGTGGGTTTGGGAGTAAAATTCGAGGCGGTTGGATTTCCTGGAATTGGTGGGGGGTGGTTAGATGTTTCATTATATCGAGATCCTGCATATAAAGGAGGAAGTGGAGATACTCACGCAACGACTAAACAGTCTTTTTCTGGCTCCAAGAACTGGAGTTTTATGGCATGGCGGATGCTGCTTGCATGGTGAATAGGCACCACGTACGCCATATTTGAAGAAATGGGAGCTGCAAGCCGCCCTGGCTATGCGTGTTGGAGCGCACAGCTTATATAAATGGAAAACAGCTCGGTTAGCAAGGGGTGTACGGAGCGGCTCCGGTTGCCGTAAGCATACCAATCCGTCGCCACATGCATAGGGACAGAGAGTATGTGGACGACTATGGTTCTCCAGCGTAGATATGCGCTGTTGTCTGGATGGTGGAAGTTGGAGGCCGGTTGATTCCGCGGAACGGGCGGAGATCAGGACTGACTAATCATGAAAGGAAATTGAACAGCAGCAGCAGGAGTAAGAGATATCTATATACAATCGAATTTCTTATCTAGTATCTCATTCTAGAAAAAAGGTATAAAAAACCCATAACTGAGGGCCCCCAGCGCCCATGGGTACAAAAAAAAACAGAAAAAGAGAACAGATCTTTTACATAAAACACACTGCATTGCCCATTTATCGCGACATATCCTTCAAATATTTATACACCACTGAAAAGTCCTTCCCAGGATACCCCTCCTCCGTCTCCTTATAGACCTGCTGAGCCTTCTCCGCAAGCTTCAACGGCGTTCCCGCCTCCTTGGCCGCTTCCACGGCAAGCCGAAGATCCTTTTTCATCAATGAAACTCCAAACCCGCCGGCATATTCCCTCGATGCGGGCGCCGTCTCCACCACTCCCGGCACGGGATTATTCACCTCACTCGACCATGACCTCCCCGTGGACGAATTGATCATTTGGCCTAGCGTCTTCGCATCCAACCCCCAACGAATCCCGAGGTTCATCGCTTCTGCTGTCGCGATGTTCTGGATGGCGAGGAGGTAGTTGTTGGCCAGTTTCCCCGAAAGTCCGGCCCCCTGCTCGCCCAGGTGCCACACCTTCTTGCCCATGAGCAGGAGCACTTCCTCAGCGCGCTGGGCGAGTCCGGGAACCTTGGAGGAGGCACCGAGCATGAAGGTGAGCGTGCCGGCCGTGGCACCCACGACTCCGCCGGACATGGGTGCATCTACGAATTTGCCAGCGCCCGTGCAGTGTACTGCGTTTGCGACTTCGCGAGAGGAAGTGGGGTCGATTGTCGAGCAGTCGATGAAGAGGCGCTCTTTGTCTGATGGGAGTTTTGGGAGGCCGCCTTTTAGGATGATATGGAAGACGTCTTTGACATGGCGGGGTTCGGGGAGACTAGTTATGATTGTTTCCTACAGCGGTAGACAAGTTGGGTGTTATTAATTTCCACGAGAAATGTCTAGATACTAGTAGAAGAGCAGAGCCATCCACAGGAATGTGCAGATGCCCGTTACCAAATCGATATCTTCTAAAACGCAAGGATCGATAGAAGCATTGTGAAAGGGATGGTCACCCACAAGGGTGAAACGCTGAGAAAAAAGCAACATCTTATACAAAGGGTGCATAGGTATGAAATATGTATTTGTAAATATAAGTATATAGAATAAATCCATACCGATTCAAGAGCCACCTGTTGAGGGCTAGTAGCAACCTCCACCTTGAGGCTGCTAGGTTGTTCCTGGACAAATTGCTGGGTGGCTTTTGGGTTGGCGTCGCATATGATTAGGGTATCGGACTGCGGGATTTTGGATCGCAAATTTCTAGCCATTGGGTATCCTGTTGAGAGAGGGAGACAGTAAAAAGTACAATCTGGTTAGCAAGTCGCCCCAAGGCGAGGTATTGAGTATGACGCGGGGTAGATGTGCATGTCGCCGGTTGGCGGTGAAGATTCAGAGAACGGGAGCGATGCGCCGGGAACACCAGCACAAGGAGGGCGAACTTATATATTACAAAAGCAGCATGTATGGAAGGAAGCAAAGGAACCCGAGGAGGCACAATTCGGTACATACCCATCTGTCCCAAGCCAATAAAACCCCAAGTCGCATCCCGGGGGAGTGTCGTCGAGAAAGCCCTCCGGGAGGCGGGCGGAGAAGTAGTATAGGGAGAAGCAAGTAGCCTCTTCAGCGGCGAGTTGAACATAGAAGCACTCATGTTGGACAGCTGGTTATGAAGAGTGGGTGGTGGCGGGACTGGAGGAATATGGGAGAAAAGAACTAAAGAAATGGCTAGTATGTTGAATCGAGGAGGATAGAGAGCAGGAAGAAAATCATCAACACGAAATATCAGAATTGAACCCGAGCTGGTTGAGCCGAGATGGTCCAGAGGCCGTGCTTAGCCTTGCCCCAGCTGCCAGGCCCAAGTCTCTCATTGCAGCCACAGCTCCCAAGGGTGCTAATGGGGACTAACGGGGGCTAATAGGGGCTACTCGCGCTAGTTTCCCCCTAAAGCCCTGGCTGTGGAACCCTGGACACACCAGCAGCTCCGGCTTCAACCGAGGGCGGGGGAGTTGGAGGGGCTGCGAACAGGGACATCTTGGGCAGTTGAGAGACGAAACAATCACAAAATTTAAATCAATCAACAATAAATATAATATCTAGTTTATCTTTCGAAATGCTACTTAGAACTCATCTACTTGAAAACTATATAAACTGACTACTGCATAGAACATCCTAGCAGTCACGGAAAACGCACGGCAAACCTCACTTGTTCGCAGCTCGTATGTAGCATCCAACAGGAGTTATGTCTACCTTCGATGGCCAGGATGTGCTCTGTTGAAACAAACAGCACATATTGAGCACATGGGCTGTCTGGGGGATAATTAGAGAATGAGCATCAGCATCTCCCCAAACGCCTAACTGTGGCAGAACAATTGGATCAAGATAAAATTTAGAGCCTCGAACAAGACCCGAATATGTACTATCTATCTCCATAGATCGTGCTACCAGTGTCTAACGTTTCCCCAAGGGGGATACAAAACCACCTGCTCGCTGCAGAATTGAGGAGGGTATGATTGTGGCCGTGCCGTCCAGACACTGGAACGTACTTTACAAAGATGACTTGCGCCCTCTGCAATCAGTTCCAGGGGAAATGGAACCTTTCAGATACCCGATTGCGGGGTATGAATAGACACCACATCGTCCCTAGATTCACTTGGGAGGAGATGCAATGTTCGGCAACCTCGTGCTACAGCTGCAATATTCTCATATCTGGATGCCGGGGATGTTTCAGCCAGCGCGGCATTGAGGAATCTGATATCGTATACGGGATTCTTCGGTTCTACTATCCAACCACTCTCGATAATGCTGTCAAACAAGAGGCGAGCAAGGACTTGATCTTCCTCATGAAAGGCGGGCGCCGTTTTGAAGTCCAGCTTTTTTGTACAGAGGATGATGATTGCCCAATCCCAGACTCGTGGGATTACATCCCTGTTTCGCGGAGGACATCACCACGGACCGATTCTGACATGGCTATCGTTACCATAAAAGGCTGGATTTCATCATGCATCGTCACTCATTACACCCCTGAATGCTTTTGCGACTCTCCCGATAACCCACCTTTGCCCACAAGAGTAGTGGATGTGGGCCTCGACGACGACAGTGTCAAGCTCATCGAACCAAAGGGGGCCGTCAGAGCCAAGTACATTTGTCTGAGCCACTGCTGGGGCCTTGCCCAAATCATAACGACTACAAAATCAACCCTCGCGGATCGCAAAAGGGGCATACCCTGGAGAAGCCTATCCAACACCTTCCGCGACGCCATTTCCCTCACCAGGGCCCTTGGCATCAAATATATCTGGATTGACTCCCTCTGCATTATCCAAGACGATGCGAGGGATTGGGACGTCGAGTCCTCCAATATGGCTGCAATATATACAAATGGCCATCTAACCATCGCCGCAACCATGTCAGCCAATGGCGCCGGCGGACTCTTCAGAGATACCCCAGACTTCGAAGTCTCCGGCACGGCACCCCCTTCAGATACAAACGGCAAGGGAGAGCCCTACCGCCTCTTCTTCCGCGAACGCATCGACCACCACATCGACATGGGCATAGCCAACAGTGACATCTCCATCGGCAGCCCGACCGCGATCCACTATCCCCTCCTCACCCGCGCATGGGTCTACCAAGAACGCATGCTCTCCACGCGCATCCTCCACTTCGGGCGCTACGAGCTTTTCTTCGAGTGCCGCAGCAGCATCGTCTGCGAATGCGACGACATCGAGTTCCACGGCTCCTCTCCCGAAACACCCATCGCGCTCTTCAAGATTGAGCATGCAGAAGCGTTGGGCGATTACACCAGCAGTTGGGTTGATGCAGACCAGTTCCGGGACGCCGTCCACTACCAGGGCGCGAGCCTGTGGCGGACAATGGTGAGCTGCTACAGCGCGCTGCTGCTGACGAAGTCGAAAGATCGCCTGCCAGCCATCAGCGGTATTGCCAAGGATCTCGCTGTGCGCAGACAGTCGAGGTACCTGGCTGGCCTGTGGGAGGAGTCTATCAATGACGATCTGCTCTGGACCGTGCACTGGCGCTCGCGACACCAGAAGGCGAGGCCGTACCCACGCAACGCGCCGACGTGGTCGTGGGCGAGTACGGATGCGTGTGTGCTGTATTACGATGGCGTGTTGTTTACCGACCTGGAGGACAAGCAGGGGTCGTTTAGAGAGAGGCAGCCGTACAAGCATTTTAGCACGGTGGAGACTTGTGAAGTGACCTGGGCGGCTGTTGACGAGTTCGGGGCAATTTCGAGCGGGATGCTTACAATTTCAGGACTGGTGGTTACCGGCCTCCTTGAGCGGTCCTTGAGCGGGAGGTTGAGGTGCAGAGCGATGGGGTGGAGGATATCGTGCACTATGTTTCTTTGCCCAGGAGAGATGATGGTAGTAATGAGAAGAAGAATCAGCTGCGACTGGCGATGAGGCCCGACTACCTGCTTGATCATGACGGGCCTGGACAGACGAAGCCAGGGACTGAGGTGTTTTGTCTGCGCATGAGCATTATACAGGAGGGATCGTCGGACCATATGATCTCACTCGTCTTGAAAAGGGCGTTTGAATCGCCAGGGCGTCTTGAGAGGATAGGAACGGTGATTCTCAGACAGAATCCCCCCCCTATAGACCCTGTGGGCGAACTGTTTCAGGATGCTGAACTGAGGACAATGACTATCATTTAACTGGATTATTTTTTAATTTTTTACGTGTACGGTACATAGATGTGCGGCATTGGAAAAATATTTTCGGCATCATCAATAGACGTGCTGGATACATTAGTCGACAGCAATGAGTAGATTTGAAACCTAATATACAGCATTCTATATCAAAAATATAAGCAAAATCACCAACATGAGAGAGGAATGCGACAACCAACGGGAAAATGAATCGCCAAATTCTATTGTAACTCGAAAATGGAAACCAGGGCAAAATGGTGAAAGATAGCCTTAAAAATGTTGGGGACGGGGAGTTGCAGGTTAAGAAGCCAAGCAATCTTTCTATTGAATATTTCCATTCTTATGTGGATGGCTCGGGGGAGAAAAGGAAATACCTTCCATTCACTCATATATCCCACAAGCTCCAGAAGCAC